TAGTTAATGCTGCTCAATGTGAAAGCACGCAGGTGATGGAGATTTACCGCTGATTACAGAACCGGCTTTCTGACAAGATGCGCGTTAAATATCGCATGCGATTAATCGTGCAGCCCTAGTTTCTAGCATGTTACTATGTGTTTGCTAGGATGTTCTGGGGTAGCTGCCAGGGTCCTGCTTTGCAATTGGTAAGGCAAGTTGTTACTATATTATGATGAGATTGCTAGGATGTTCTGGGTGGGTGCCAGGGAACTGCTTTGCAATTGGTAAGGCAAGTTGTTACTATATTATGATGTGGTTGCTTGGATGTTCTGGGTGGGTGCCAGGGAACTGCTTTGCAATTGGTAAGGCAAGTTGTTACTATATTATGATGTGGTTGCTTGGATGTTCTGGGTGGGTGCCAGGGAACTGCTTTGCAATTGGTAAGGCAAGTTGTTACTATATTATGATGTGGTTGATTGGATGTTCTGAGTGGGTGCAAGGGCATTGCTAGCAGTTGTAGTTATGAGCGTTGCTAGCATGTTAACCTTTATAGGCACCAGTAATAAAAGCTGTCATACAGATTACTAGATAATCGATTAAAAGCATGCACATCAAGTGACAACTAGAAAATAAACACAACCTTTATCTTGAACTTCCTTAGAGCAGCGTTCTCGTTCTATAGCGGATTCCCTCTCAATCCTTTCGATCTCAGCAAGAGCATCCAGCTCTGCCTCGTCGTAGGGGGTTCCACTAACTACCCCGGGTTGCTTGGCTGCAAGTGCCCCAGTGTTCTGTAGTACAGGAAACTGCTGGTAGGCCGACTGCTCACCCGATAGACACTGACCTGTGGAGAGCCGTTCCTGGGGGTTCCGGTGATATGGTAAGCTATTGCACGATAGTTCATTCTCAGCCTCTGAGCCATGCTCTACCACCGATAATGGCTCAGCTGACTGCTCAGTCTCAGAAGACTTCACTCGAGACAACTTTATTGTTAGCTTTGTGGAGTCTTTAGTGGGTGAGCTGACAATGTCATACATGGCACCTTTACCCCCCTCCTCTTTCATTAATTTTTTCTGTTTCTTTTTCCGTTCAGGTGAGTCCAACAGGAGGTCAGGAGCAGCATCTCTTGGGGAGGTGTAGGGTGGAGGAGACTGAAGAATCAAGGGCGGCCGAGATCCAACTGAAATTTAACCAACATAAAGTTGAAAAATCATACTTCTGTGTAAATCAGCAATATGGCAACATAATAAGCTTTTGGAATGAACCAGTTTGTCAGAGTTTGGTTGGTTTAATTTCGGCATCTTTGCATATCCACATTCTGTCTGTCTGTTTGAGACAATATTCTCAAATGAAAAAAGTAGAGGCTTGGACCCAGAAACAGTATTCCTTACATCACAACTTAACAAGAGGAGAGTATTATTTCTCACAGCTGCTTGTCTCTGAATATATTTTCTTGGGAGAACAGCAAGCATACTCATACTATACAGACAAGTACAAGCATATGTGTAAAGGATGTATGTTCAAAGTGACAATAACACAAATTAAACAGTGAATCTGGCAATGTCTCACCCTGCATTGCTACCTACTTACAGTGGTACACATGTGGCACTAGTAAGCACTGTGGTACTCACGGGTGAGACTGCTGCAAACGTACCCAAAGTACAATGTGAAAAGAGACCAGTAGGAGTTAAAGTAGGGACCTAAAAGCATACCCATCTAAAAATGGTATAGGTACAAAAATGGAGGTTCAATCTACCTTTCGGAGTCCCTTCACTTCCAGCAGGGGAGCAGACGGAGCGTACAGGAAAGGAGGCGTTTCTCAAAGCGGGGTCACTCTCCTGTGAAAACACAGGTTGAAAAATGTGCTGTTAATACAGATCCAGGCACAATCGAATGAAGGAAAAATAATTTGGAGGCAGAAATATACGTCGGGTTATAAAAACTTCTGTTGGCAAGCACTCACATCATTTCCAAGTCTCTGGACAATGCTGATGTACTCATCGTTGGAGCAATGCCTCGCATTATGGTTGGAGTTACCCGACACTTGACAGGAGACCTTGTTGTCATGGATGTTTCTCATACCACCAGGAACTATTGGACTGGATACGGATACTGCAATACAGAAAAAACTTATGCACCGATTTATTTTTATTTGGAATAATCTGCATTGATTAATTTTTCACAATAAGAACAAGAACATGCATTAAGAAACTGAATACACGTTTCAGTTTTTGATTTTAACAGCCAGGGATGGTTTCACATATCATTCAGCAAGGGACGTGGATAAAAGAAGATTCACTAAGAACAAATCTTATTAAAACCACTTTTCCTTGAGCCTTGAGGTGTTTTAAGACTACAGATAATGAAAATGGTGACAATCCTCTTGAGGTTCTCTTTAGAGAGGAGACTGGAGACTCACCTTGCTGGATCTGTTGGTGCTGAGGGTAGTTGGGTGGGTGGCTGTACTGCATGTAGCCTGCGGGGCTCTGTGGTGCATACGGGCTGGGCACTGGGCTGTTCTGCTGGGGCATGTACCTGGTACCAGAACCTGCCTGAGGTTGAACATATCGGCTGTTGAGTAAGAGCAGAACTGGTCAGTATACATACTGGAAATGGAACCAGGTTTTTTTAATCACACTAGATGGAGTTAAAACGGTATGCTGTTTGCCACTTACCTATCTAACCCAAATAAAAAGGAAACTGAAACAGTACCTGGGAGGGCTCGGAGTTATAGTGGTTTGCTGGTAGTTTGACGCCGGACTTCCATGCATTGAATTCTGAGGCATCTTGTATGGTGGTATCATTGGCTGTTGCATTAAACCTTCAAAGCATAAAACAAAGACCATCAACAAACCATGGGTTTAAAATGTTGACTTCATGGGGCAAATGACATGGCAATTCAAGCTCACATTTGTCATGCCATCTGACTAGAACTCCAATGAGTTAGATTAAACTCAGTCACCAATAAAATAATTTTGTGACCCAAATACCAAAAAAAATGTAACACTTACAATACTTTCATATATACACTACAGTTTAAAAGTTTGCAGGTCAGTAATAATTTAAAGTTAATCATTTTTTTTCCAGCAAGGATGCATCAAAGAATCAAGGATTTATCAAAACTGACAGCAAAGACGTATGTTCTTTTGAACTTTATATTCATCATAGCATCTGGAATAAAATGCATCATATTTTCCATAAAAATATTAAGCAGAACATCTGTTTTGAACTGTGCTTGATTAAATAAATGCAAGCCTCAGTGAGCGTAAGCGACTTTTTTCAGAAAAAAAAAATAACTTGCCGATCCCAAACTTTTGAACAATAGTGCATGCCCAGAGCCAAAATGTAAAATGATTATATTATGGCAGTTTCATACATCTAAAATTATAATTAATATTACCACTAATTAACACTAACTACAGTCTGGAAAATACAAAAAATGGGATTTCTAATCCAGGGAGCTCTAACAGAGATCACAGAATAAAAGCATGCCCAGACTAAACAGCTTTATTTCTGCAGTTTCTCCTTACCGCCCTGAACCCCATATCGGGTGGGCGTACTTTTCTCCCTGAAGACATTGGGGTTCCTGGACAACACCGTCTGCAGCAGTAGAGGCACATCTCCTTCCGGGTCATCACTGCCCAAGTTGTCCTTCAGCTCTCTGCATGTAAAATCACAAAGATGGAATGAGATTCACAGATATTTTACATATCATGTATGATAAACACATTTGTTGAGGATGTACTGAAGGAAGGAGGCCAAGGTGAGATACCCACATGTGCTCGGTGGACACCTGGTTGAGGCTGTGTGCCAGCTGGGACACAAGAGTGTCGTCCCGCCGGGACAGCAGACAGCTGACCTCCTCGGCGATCCTCCCATTATACAGCAGGCTCTTAGTGGTGGTGACAGGTAGAGGGGAAGGGAGAGGCAGCTGATTTAACACTGAGAAATAAACACACAAAAAAATTAGTTATTCCTTATCACAACAGGAGGCGTGAAATATTTCACTAATTTCTTCAGGACTTCCAGTTTTGATCCAGTCACAAAAAAATGATTGCCTGTTCAAATCAAGTTCAAGCCCTATCAATATGAAAGGTATGAACAGACATTTAATCAACATCTTCGATAACCAATCAAAAGAGCATATTCTTCAGTATATACCATCTGGATGAATATTTACACTTTTGAAGGTACACCAAGTAATTTTCACACTCAAAGAGAAATCAATAGTACTTAATTTGATAAATTTGTTTATCTGTGTACGACAAAAAAATGTTTTATTCTACATAAGGATGGTCTCCCTCTTATGGCGGCCACCATGTTCAAGTCAAATGATGAGCTGAACACTATGAACTCTGTCCTGATAGCACTCTATTATCTAATAATTTCAGTTATAAAAGTTATGTCATAATTGTTAAATAATTAACATTACATTTTTAAAAGCATCTTTAAGAGACACAGCGTGCATAAATAATTAGTTAAGGAAGGTTTGTTACACAAGTTCAGGTACCAAGCATTTGTGCAACTTACGGTCAGTGAGGCTTGCGATCCCAGCGAGAGTGGTGATAGGAACATGAGGCATATCCCCATTCATGCTGAAGAAGGGCAGGGAGCTCGCGTGGATGCACAGGTCGCTCAGTGTCGCTGCTCACTGATCCACCATTACATCTTTTGCTGCAAGAGAAAGAAAAGGACAAAATGACATAATTATCAGGTTCAGTACTTGAACACTTTCTGTGCTGACATATGGAAACAATAGCACAGTATTGCAATTAAAACACCTTTAGAAATGTTTCATTCAAATGCTTTAATGCTACAAAAATATAGACAAGGAAAGCAAGGAAACCAGAAAACAGAACAAATCAAGTTATTACATTCATTTTGCTTTTATTCATTAATATGATCAAAAGTGACAATCTTACACAGCATTTACATTTTGCTGTCCTTTTGAACCTTCTATTCATGAAAGAATTCTGAAAACGGTTTCCACAAAAATATTAAGCAGCACAACTGTTTTCAACATTTATAATCAAAAGAAATGTTTTTGAGCAGCAAATCATCCTATTAGAATGATTTCTGAAGGATCATGTGACACTGAAGACTGGAGTAATGGCTGCTGAATACTCAGGTTTGCATCACAGGAATCGATTTTAAAATGTATTAAAATAGAAAACAGTTATTTTAAATTGTAATAATATTTAATAATATTACTGCTTGTACTGTATTACTGATCAAATATATGCAGACTTTGTGAGTATAAGACTACTTTTAACAACAACAACAAAAAAATCTTACCAACCCCAGACTTTTGAATGGTAGTGTATATTTTTTCACAACTAGTTTCATCTCCATAATAGTGATGAAAACTTTGCAAACACCACATTTTTCCGCATAACATGATCACTAGTTCAACATAACTCAATGTTTTAATAAACATGACACTGATGGCAAGCACTGACATCTGGAAATCTGAAATTTAAAACGTGGAAATATTAAAGGAGGTAACTATCTATAAAATAAATAATGGAGTCACAAAACAAAAACCTTCATTTTAAACTTACCATATGCATTATGTACAGAACAAAAGAGGCACCAAGCAAAGCCAAAACTACACGCGCATCTGCTCATCAAATGGGCTTTATTTTGTAGTTACCCCTCCCCCTATGCTTCTATAACTGCCTCCACTCCTCTAGGAGGGTTTCCCATCAGGCAGTGGGACAGGCTGCAGGAGACACAGTCCTGCT